AACACACACTGACGCCTCAAATGAGTTTACAAGTATCTCTTTTTGATGGGCTATTCTGTATTATTTCTTCACAGGTCAGTGCAACCTCAGCCAAGTGCTCGGAAAGATTTAACGATGCTGGGAGCTGCCGGGAAGCAATTTACAAGGCCCAGAGTGAGTACAGTATGGTGTAAAGAGCTAGTAATCAACCAATTAGAGATACCGTAAATTCTGGATACTCCAATTAGGAAGAACAGCTAGAGAAGGCATGACTATTCATTCCTACCTTTGGAAGAACTCCAGGATGGTGCTTCTGTATTTTCTAGTAGGATCTAAGGGTTGATGCTTGGGCTGGAGGGTCAGGGGATAGGATGCTGGTAGAAGGTAAGCGCCCTGAGGACAGGGCTAGCGCCAGAGACAGGCCCTGTTACTACCTTGCTACAAAGGATCCGCTGTCTCAGGATCTATCTCTTTACAGCGTTAAAAACTGAGAGCCCCCAAAGAGCTTTTATTTATGTGGGCAATGTTTATTGTACTACAAGTAAAAACTAGTAACATTTAAAAATATCAAGTAATTAAAATAACACGAATGAATCCATATTAACATAATAGGTTCCAAAACAAAAGGAAGAGAGAAGAGTTGCCCTGTTATATTATTTTTGCCTGTCTCTTGGCTTAACAAAAGGCAGCTGGAAATGGAAAGTTGTCTGCTTCTGCGTCCAAATTGTTGAAAAATATTGTGGTGGTAAAGTGCACGAAGAGAATCCAGGCTCATACTTGGAAAAGGGAGGAGCATTTTAATAGGCAAAGAACATCTTAGTATTATTATGAAAATAGCTTTGACCTCCCAGACCCCCTAATACAGTCTCCAGGGATTCCCAGGGATCTGAGGACTACACTTTGAAAACCATAGGTGTAGAGGACCTCGCAAGGAGGGCAATCCCTCCATCAAAGAAGGCCAGCCTGTCTCTGTCACTTACAGTCTTAGAGAGTTCACTGACTTGCCCAGGGTGACTGAGCCAGTGTAGGTGAGAGGCCAGATCTCTCTCCACTCCTTTCTCCCACGGTGGCCTCCAGAGGACAGAATGGGACATTTGAACTCACGCCTATCTCCCCGGCACTGAACCTCACAAAATCCCAGCCTAGCTGCCTCTTCCTCCACAAAAGATTTCCTAACTCCCCTTCCCCACTCTCTTGCTTTTGAAATGATTTCGTATCTTTCTATCAGAGTATATATATCATATCTCTCAATGGAACAAAAATCTGTCTGTCTATCTGTCCCGCTCTTTTCCTTCCCACTCTTCTGCCTCCTGCAGGGCCTGCCACCAAGGAACGAGGGCTAGACTTATGATTGAGTTGGTATGGGGACTCCCAAGTCAGGGAATGCCCTCCACCAAAGTAGATCTGCATCCTCTTGGCAACTCTTATCTTATCGAGTCGCCTGGGTGTTCAGAGAGGGAAATGACCTGTCCAGAGTCACACAGCCCATTCACAGCAGAGATGGGACTGGATTCTAGCTCAGCATGGCTCTCTAGCCACTGGACTACCCTGCCTTTCACACAGTGAGCACTTAGAAAACACTTGGTGAGTGACTAGGGCAAAGAATGTAGGATTCATAGCTGGAAAGGACTCTTTTTTAAAGAGGAGAAAACTGAGGGCCAGTGTCGGGTAAAGGTCTGAAAGATGTGTCTTGTTTTCTACCCTAAGGCTGAATGGCTAATGCAATTTCTTAGCAATGCTTAGGATGTGAGCCATGGAGAAACTCAAGGAGGCGTCAAATCAAGGAAGGAAGGGAGGAAATGCGCCTTTATTAAGGGCCTACTATGAGCCAGGCCCTGCGCTAGGTGCTTGGAAAATATTTCAACTGATCCTTATAACAACACTGGAAGGAAGGGGTTAAAAGTGTCTGAAGTCACCTCTGAACTCAGGTTTTCCTAACTCCAAGCCCAGAGCTCTATCCACTGCACTACCCAGCTGCCTAGAACAGAGTAAGTGTCTACCTACTAAGACTAAAAAGAAACATTCCCTGCCCTCAAGGAAATGACATTGTATTGCAAAGGAGGTACATGGAACTCTTAGGAACAAAAAATAACAAAGTGTCAAAGAGAGTGGCTTGGCTTTAGCCGCCAGAGGTTCAGAATCGGGCTCTGAGTTACCTGAATGGAGGCAGATCTGGGGAGAAGGGAAGGGAGCTGAGCACTCTCCTTGCAGCGAGCCCGGTGCCTGCCAAATGGTATTAATGTGAATGTTTGTTGATTGACTGGTAGTTAGACTGGGAGCTCTGAGAGGGCACGTGTGCCTAGGAAGCATCCTCACTGCGCTGATCACAGCAACCCCCTTGGGTAGCCACTCCAAGGATCATCACTCCCATTTTAGGGTGCAGAAACTGAGGATTTGAGAGGTTAAGTAATGTAGTCACAGCCACACCTATCAACAGCCAGTACCTGGCTCTGGCAGAATTTGAACCCAGTTTTTAAATGTCTTTAAATCCAGTGACCTTAGAAAAGGTCATTCCGTCAAGTAGCGGGTGTTCGAGTTAAGGGCTGAAGTCCCAAATTGTCCACTGCCCCTCACTGCCCCTCCTTCCCCCGAATTTGTTCATTGGTGAATGTGATTTTTCAGATATAAAAAGGGATATTTCTTCGAGGCAATTTTAGGGAGCCCATAAGAACCTATAAAATCAGTCAGTCTCATTTTTAATTTCTTTTAGGCTCCGAAATCTTTTTGATATTGCAGATTATTTTTTGGTAAAAGTGGTTTTACTTGCTAATAAATGATATAAAATTGTTACTTTGGTGTATCAGCAACTTCTGAAATCCCCTTAATCAGAATGCACACCTCACATGACGCCAGTTTCCATTTCACTGGGCATAGGCACAGAAAAATAAACTTAGTTTAACTTTATATGTACATGTGTGTGTTATTCCTTAACTTTACACATACACACATACACATATTCGTATATTATATACAGACACATATAATTACATATGTATGTAATAATAGTAAGAGCTAACATTTATATAGCACCTGTTATATGCCAGGCACTGTGCTAAGCACTTTATAATTAATATCTCATATGAGTCTCACAACAACCCTGGGAGGTGGGTGCTATTATCATCCCCATTTTACAGGAAACTGAGGCAAACAGGGATTAAGTGAGCAGAGATGGAAAGTGTTTGAGGCTGGATTTGAACTCAGGCCTTCCTGGCTCCAGGCCCAGTGCTGTATCTGTGTGTGCGCATGCGCACGCACGCGCACAAACACACACACACACACACACACACACACACACACACCCGACAAGGAATTATAATTAAAGCAAGAGAACAGAGTTTTGCTTAAGAGTATGTCAGCTGGACGTAGGTGGGCCAAAGGCACAGGGGCAGAAGCTGATGCCTCCTGAGTTGTGGACTCACACTCTGGGCCAAGGGTGAGGCTGAGGTCATTGGCTCTAGAGGCCGGCTAGGCCAAGCTCATTGGAAGGATGGATACAGAAGAAGTAGCTGGTGGAGGTTCAGAGACTGGTCCAAGCTCACACAGTTTGTGGCTGCAGGGCCTCTAACTATAGGTGATCTTGGCTGTTCTTGCCAAGGCTAACGCCAGTGGGCTCCTTCCCTTGGCCCGTTTGGGAAAGGGCTCGGAGAAGCTGGAGAAGGCCCAGAAGACATGAACCAGGCAGCTGAAGGACCTTGGATCGATGGCACAGGAGAAGCAGATGAAGAACCCAGGCGCACTAAGCTTAGAAGGAGAGACACGATGACAGTCTCAGGGGCATTCGGGGGAGAGGATAAGCTTTCTTCTGATTGGTCCCAGAAGGTAAAACCAGCAACAAGGGGGGAGGGTGAAAAGAAGCCAGCTTAGGCTAGAAGTCAGGAGGAACTTCCCGGCTGGTGGAGCTCTGCTCAAGGCGCCTGGGCTCCCCCTCCTGCAGGGCTTCAAGGAAAGGCTAAATGACCACTGATCAGGCAAGTTCCAGAGAGGCTCATTCTTGTTCAGGAGAGGCCGGCCTGGCTGCCCTCTGATCCCACCCACCTGGAGACCCTGATTCATCGGTTTCCCTATCACGGTTGACAAAGAAAATGCTACAGAGTTACACAAGCCCAAAGAGGCAGACAAGAAAATCAAACGCATCTGCAAACATGCTGCCAATTCTGGACTCATGTAATTCGTTATCAAACCAACTGCCAAAAGCTACAGCAGAGATAAGTATGCAAATATACACAGCAGAGACTGGTCAGAAAGAATGATAACCGCTCACATTTAGAGACATTTATCTATAACAAATCCTAGTACCAGTAGTGAAGAACAAGAATCACTCTCTGCGTTTTATAAACAGAGAAACTGAGGCACAGGAAAATGAAGAAATCGCCCAGAGTCACATGGCTGGCAAATAAATATCAGAATCCAAAGCAGAAATGAGGACCTCATTGGCACTGAGAGACCTTGCAATTCTCCAATTGGGTGACGGTGTGACCGCCATCCCAGGGCTCTTGGCTACAGCCTCCCAGTGGGCCATGATGCACCCCAAAGGACTTTCACCAAGCTAGATGCCTCCCAATTTTGATCAGATCAGGATAATTCAAGGGGGATTATTTTCATGTTTCTTTTGGAAACTGAAGAAAAACAGTACTGGAAAGCTTTTGTGGAATGCATGTAGGTACAAAATTCTAAGTCCATACAAAATCCACAACCCAAGTTGAAGGCAGAAGGTTGGGGTGGAGATAAAGCAAGATGGAGGATCAGGGAACAGAGATTCCAATGGAGCTGCGCGACTTTTTCTAAGTCTCCTACCCTGTGACTCTGTTTCTCCATCTGTAAAAGGAGAAGTCATAGGACTGAAGACTGAGAGCTGGGAGGTGCTTACGTCTAGGGGCCTTCCTGAGATAAGGTCATCAGGTCCAGTTTCTAGGACTGTGTGAGGAATTTGCCAGTGCTGGTTTCTAAGTTAGTTAAAAACAAACAAACAAAACACAAGCAGTGATACTAATTTTTTTTGGGGGGGACAAATCTGTGATTTCATTCTTAAACGGAACCATCAGCCTGGAAACTTTGCCAGCCAGCAGCTGATGCTGTCGAAGAACAGTGTGGTCAAGTGGAAAGGGCGCCAGTTTGGGGGACAGCCCCTCGGCTGAAATCCCGTCTCTGATGGTTTACTACCTGCGTGACCTTGGGCTAGTCACTCAAAATCCCTTCCAGGTCTGGATCTCAGACACAGTGAACTTCACTTCTTGGGAGAGTTGCCTCGGGCAGGGAGAGGTGTGGGTGACTTGACCCGGACCCCGCAGCTAGAAAGTCAGCACTGAGTCCTGAACTTCACTCTTCCTGCCCCAGGGCTGGCTGGCTGGCTACGATACCCCAGCTGCCTCTCCAGATCTTCTCTACAACGAAAATAAAATAAAATCTTAATTACGTTAGTATCTTTTCTCAGGGGCATCAACATCTGTTTTTTCTGTAACATTTACAAATATGCACAGGATGCAATAGACATTTACATAAATCCATGCACATTTGAGTGTTGGTTACACTGGGAGGGAGTTGGAGCAGGGGAGTGGATAGAGTGCCGAGCTGGGGGGCCAGGAAGCCCTGGGCTCGTATCCCACCTCTGTCACCTCCAAGCTGGGTGACCTCTCTTGGCCTCAGGGTCCTCATAAGGGTGTTGGACTATAGAGCCACAAAGGATTCTTTCAGCTCCCAATCTATGACCCGTGATGTTTGGCCTCAGTTTACTCATTTGAAAAAATGAGGGGATTGGTCTGTGATGTCATTCCCAGTTCTACATCTGTGGTTCTATGAATCTCAGGTCATGAAATCTGAGGCAGCCACCTTAGCTCTCTCAGGCAGCAGCGGCAGGTGGGCTGACCTGCCCTGAGCACCTTGAGTGAAGGAAGGAAACTATCGTCATCTACTGTTCTCCCCCTCAACCCCCCAGACCACAGCATCTACTCCTGAAACAGCTTCTTGGTGGGGTGTGAGTTAAGAGGCCCCTTTCTGTTCCCATGAGCGGCTGTTGCAAAAACGAACAGCCTATCTTTCCTGTAATGTCAGGGAGCAGGTACGACAGTGCCCTGCGGCTCTCCCAGGCTGGTCGAGCGGTGAAGAGACGGCAGGAAATCAATCTGACGGACTCCTCTGAGCTTAGCCCGGATTTCCCAAACCCACCCGAAGGAGCCCTCCCTGGAGCCCTGCCAAACGGTTTAAGGTGGGAAGCTGATGGTTTTCTAAAAGGACCAGTCTGAACAACCCAGTGATTCCAAAGGGAATAACTGACAGAGAGAATGTTGTCACCCTTAAAGCAATTCTAGAAATGCAAGAGGTCAGCCAGTTCTGTTTCTTCTTATCTTCTCCCTCTTTCCATCCTTTCCCAATGGACTTCAGATAGAAATGGTCCTGAGACAAGGGGCTACCCTCATGCTACCCTCTTAGAGTTAAAGTTCTAGGGACTATGGCAGAGGTCCATAAGGGTTTTGAAATCAAATGAATGAATAAATGAAAAAGCCTCCAGAAAACATTTACAGCATTCCATGAAAGATGCTGAGAATACAAATACAAGAGAGAGAGAGAGAAAGAGAGACAGAGACAGAGAGACAGACAGACAGAGAGAGCGCCTGCCCTCAGGGAGCTCCCATTCTAATGTCGGGAGGGGACAGCACCAGCGGGGGGTGGTGGGGGGTGGGGGGGGTGAGGGAAGGGAGGTTTGTTCTGAGCAGGAGTGCAGACAAGCAGAATGATGGGACAGGCTAGTCCTTCAGAGAAGGACGTAGCAGTGTTGATTTAACTGAACCAGAGGATTTGGCTGAAAGCTCCTCTGCACTGTTTATAAACAGTATTTATTGTGCTTCTTAGAAATTTGGATAGACTAGGAAACAAAAACTCTGAATGCAGGATTTAAGGAGGGACCAACCCCAAAGTATTGTGAATTTATAAAGGAAGAGGAAGACAGGGAAGAAGGAAGGGACCTGGTCTGCTTGGGCCTTGAAGGCAGACCCAGAAGACACAGGTAGAAGCCTCCCAAGGAACGAGGCGTCTCCTAAGGAGATCTGCCCCAAAACACCATGGCTGGGCTGCTCGGCCCTTCTTTGGAGGCCTTTGAGAAGAAACTGGAAGACAGTTTCGCGGAGCTGGGGTCCAGGGGTTTCTTCAGAAGCAGACTGGACTCGAGCCCCTCTGAGATCTCGTCTGAGTTTTTGTGACACACGGGGCGGGGAAGGATCAAGACAAAGGTTGATGGGAAATTCGAGGAGAACCAGATCCCTTAGAGGTGGGGGCAATCTGAGAAGGCTCCATGGAGGAGGCCACCAGTACAAGATCTCACAGGCTGTGACAGCACCCAATTACTGCCCAGCAAAGACTCTCACAAACAACTTCTTCCTGAGAGGCATGGGAGGGAAACGCCAATGACTCGGGCAAGCCGCAGGGAGCGTCCTTCGGGCTCCTCCGTTCTCCTCCCACTATGGCTCCAAGGCCATCTTGCCCAACGGTGGGTTGAGTCACTAAGTCACAGATGGATTCTGGCCTTTCAGAGGCTCCTTTGTGACAGTGTCCCTAAGGCGGCAATGACCGGGAGGTGTCTCTGTCGCCTGTGAGCTCTGGTTGGGTGGCCCTGGTATTAGTCAGACCAAGGCCTGCTGTCTGAAGCCTTATTGGCTGCGTTGTGGTTTCTGTCTTCCTCTCCCAGTGCCCCGAAACAGCCGCAATGGACTGTTCTAGGTCTGTCAGATCATAGCCCTGGAGCTAAAGGGAACTCAGAGTCAAGGCCCCTCATTTTCTAGGTGAGGAAACTGAGGCCAGAAAGAAGGCATGCTTAAGTATCACAGGATCATAGAGTTAGAATCAGAGGGACCTTCAGATGTCACAGAGAGATTAAGTGAGGTACAGAATTGACTTTCTCAGAATTGGGAATACTTCACCTTTCTAATCCCAGCACCTAACACACGACACACAGTAGGCACTCAATAAATGTTTCTTAAATGGAACTTTGTGGCGGGGAAGCTGTGAGGAGGACAGTGGAAGAAGCCGGAGACAGGCAGGGGACCTTCCCAGAGTCATTCAGCAGTCAATCCACAAGCACTGTTTAATCGCTTACTGTGTGCCGGGTACCGTGCACGCTGGCAAGACAAAGAGAAATGACTCCACGGCAGTTCTGAGAAGACAGACGTAGAGAGCGACGGGGCGGTCGTCAAGATCAAACGCATTGGGTGGGATCGAATGTGAGCTAGTCCAGTGCCCTGCAGTGGACCAGGCATAGCACCAGGCGTGCCAAATGTAGCCTCAAGGATCTTGCCTTCTCCGGGGTGGGTGGGCTGGGGGGAGCAAGCGCACATCGATCAATGAATCTACCTCTGACGCCATGCAATCAAGAAGAAAGACTTCACCGTAGGCAAGAGCGAGAGAAAGAGGAACCCTGGTAATTCTAAGGAAGAGGAGATTTGTGGGAAGAGGAAATCCTCAAGTCCTGAACGTGCAGAGTCAAGCTGTACTTTTACTCCGGGCCTTTTTGGAAGCGGGTTCTCAGCGTCGGAAGGTTGCCCTCTTTGGACCGCTGAGATTCTGTGATGTCCCTGAAACCATCCCCCTCAGGCAGACAGTGTTAGATTGAAACTCGCTCCTGAAAAACGGGTGCACGAGGGAAGATGGGCTTCAAAACCGGCTTCTGAGTTTCCTTCACTGAATGTCGTGGAGGCCACGAGTTTCTATCGCCCTTCCGGGAATTCGTATTTAAAAGCTACCTTCCAAGTTTAAGATTCTTTCGGCTGAATTACTATTTTAAATAGAAGAAAGGTTTTGTCCCATGTTCTCTCTCTATAATTGATAATGTGATGCTGAATTTGAAGGCACGGGGCTGGAGTTCCGATTCTGGCTCGGTGCCTCACTGCCCACGTTGACCTCAGCCAAGTTGCTTGCCTCTCTGGATCTCAGTTTCCCCATTTGGAAAGTAAAGGATCTAGACTAGATCCCTCCCAAGGGCGCCGCTAGCTTCAGATCTGGGATCCTTTGATTTGCGTATCCAGAGAGAACGCTGATCGGAAAAAACAACTGCCACAAAACCCCAGACTCTGGAATTGCTTTCCTCAAGCTAATGACAGCTCCCGTGACTGACGTCTGAGACGCAGGCACCCCACCCACGGAATTCAGAAGGATAACTGGTCTAGCTATTGACGCTGGCGCTAACTGCCTGTGTGACCTCAGGCCAGCCCCCAAACTTCCTGGGCAGAAGGGACGGAAAACGATGGCCTCTGAGGACTCCAGGAAGCCAGGATGTTCTGGTGAACCTCCTTCCGGTCTCAGGGCACACAGTGGCGTCCCAACGGCCTGGACTGATTTGCCGCGTGAATGGAGGGAGTTTTCCCGGAAGCATTGGGCTCACCTTGGCTCCCATCATGGCTGGCTGATAAACACGAGCCGTGCCAAGCGGCTCCTTGAAGCAGCAAAGAGAGCACGCTCCAAAGACCTCCGGTAATTAACCCTCCTAATGGCCGTGGGAGGTGGGGCAGGGTTCCTCCTTTACTCTCTCTCAAACCCCAACGAGGCTCAGGCTTGGTCTCGTGCTTGGCCTCCTCCCCGAGAGCAGCGCACGACTACTGATCAGTGGTCCAACTCGCTGTGAACAGCGTCGAACTTTCAGGAGATTTGAAAGTCAGCTCTATTAGGTCATCTTTATTCAGTCAGTGCCTTACAATATACCCCCCAACGCTGATCCCAGGTACCAGCCAACACAGGTCAATGGCCTACAGCAGGTTGGTTGAGGGGATTAACTCCAGTGGGTTCCTTTCACTTAATTGACAATTGCCTCTTTTGACTCAACTGGGAATCAAAACCCTGGACCACTTCAAAACAGTTCACAGGCCCAATGGCTGAGGACGAAGCGAACAGTCCGCTCGCTCGCTCGCTCGCGCACGCTCCTCGCCCGGCAGCTTGAGAAGGCTTTTTCTCTGTGGCTTCAGATAGCGGCAAAAATCTCCGACTCTGTCACCGGTGGTGGAGAGATGTTCTTTGAGCCCTGTTTTCTTGGGGCTGGGTGGGTATGACATCGGGGTTCGAGGCCCAAATTAGGAATTTAAAGGGGGACCAGGGGCCGGAGAAGAGAACCTCAGGTCTTTCAGGCCCCTGTGACAGTGCCAAGGACCGCCATGCTGATCCCAGGGTCGGCCCCAGTGCAGTAGGAGCTGCAAAGCGCTCTGCAGAATTAACCCCTTAGTGCTCACTCACAAAATTGGCAAAGATAAAGGCTCCACGATTCTGCATCTGACCTGAGGTGCAGGGATAATGACTCAGAATTCTCCTGATATCAAGAAATGGGGAGACATCCGCCTGAGCACTCATGTCACCCCAGCCACTGCACCACCCCACCTCAAGAATGGGGAGCTACTGATCTT